AGGTTTAGTGGAGTAGGTGAGGTGGTAGTGGTGTAGTGGGTTAGGTTTAGTGGAGTAGGTGAGGTGGTAGTGGTGTAGTGGGTTAGGTTTAGTGGAGTAGGTGAGGTGGTAGTGGTGTAGTGGGTTAGGTTTAGTGGAGTAGGTGAGGTGGTAGTGGTGTAGTGGGTTAGGTTTAGTGGAGTAGGTGAGGTGGTAGTGGTGTAGTGGGTTAGGTTTAGTGGAGTAGGTGAGGTGGTAGTGGTGTAGTGGGTTAGGTTTAGTGGAGTAGGTGAGGTGGTAGTGGTGTAGTGGGTTAGGTTTAGTGGAGTAGGTGAGGTGGTAGTGGTGTAGTGGGTTAGGTTTAGTGGAGTAGGTGAGGTGGTAGTGGTGTAGTGGGTTAGGTTTAGTGGAGTAGGTGAGGTGGTAGTGGTGTAGTGGGTTAGGTTTAGTGGAGTAGGTGAGGTGGTAGTGGTGTAGTGGGTTAGGTTTAGTGGAGTAGGTGAGGTGGTAGTGGTGTAGTGGGTTAGGTTTAGTGGAGTAGGTGAGGTGGTAGTGGTGTAGTGGGTTAGGTTTAGTGGAGTAGGTGAGGTGGTAGTGGTGTAGTGGGTTAGGTTTAGTGGAGTAGGTGAGGTGGTAGTGGTGTAGTGGGTTAGGTTTAGTGGAGTAGGTGAGGTGGTAGTGGTGTAGTGGGTTAGGTTTAGTGGAGTAGGTGAGGTGGTAGTGGTGTAGTGGGTTAGGTTTAGTGGAGTAGGTGAGGTGGTAGTGGTGTAGTGGGTTAGGTTTAGTGGAGTAGGTGAGGTGGTAGTGGTGTAGTGGGTTAGGTTTAGTGGAGTAGGTGAGGTGGTAGTGGTGTAGTGGGTTAGGTTTAGTGGAGTAGGTGAGGTGGTAGTGGTGTAGTGGGTTAGGTTTAGTGGAGTAGGTGAGGTGGTAGTGGTGTAGTGGGTTAGGTTTAGTGGAGTAGGTGAGGTGGTAGTGGTGTAGTGGGTTAGGTTTAGTGGAGTAGGTGAGGTGGTAGTGGTGTAGTGGGTTAGGTTTAGTGGAGTAGGTGAGGTGGTAGTGGTGTAGTGGGTTAGGTTTAGTGGAGTAGGTGAGGTGGTAGTGGTGTAGTGGGTTAGGTTTAGTGGAGTAGGTGAGGTGGTAGTGGTGTAGTGGGTTAGGTTTAGTGGAGTAGGTGAGGTGGTAGTGGTGTAGTGGGTTAGGTTTAGTGGAGTAGGTGAGGTGGTAGTGGTGTAGTGGGTTAGGTTTAGTGGAGTAGGTGAGGTGGTAGTGGTGTAGTGGGTTAGGTTTAGTGGAGTAGGTGAGGTGGTAGTGGTGTAGTGGGTTAGGTTTAGTGGAGTAGGTGAGGTGGTAGTGGTGTAGTGGGTTAGGTTTAGTGGAGTAGGTGAGGTGGTAGTGGTGTAGTGGGTTAGGTTTAGTGGAGTAGGTGAGGTGGTAGTGGTGTAGTGGGTTAGGTTTAGTGGAGTAGGTGAGGTGGTAGTGGTGTAGTGGGTTAGGTTTAGTGGAGTAGGTGAGGTGGTAGTGGTGTAGTGGGTTAGGTTTAGTGGAGTAGGTGAGGTGGTAGTGGTGTAGTGGGTTAGGTTTAGTGGAGTAGGTGAGGTGGTAGTGGTGTAGTGGGTTAGGTTTAGTGGAGTAGGTGAGGTGGTAGTGGTGTAGTGGGTTAGGTTTAGTGGAGTAGGTGAGGTGGTAGTGGTGTAGTGGGTTAGGTTTAGTGGAGTAGGTGAGGTGGTAGTGGTGTAGTGGGTTAGGTTTAGTGGAGTAGGTGAGGTGGTAGTGGTGTAGTGGGTTAGGTTTAGTGGAGTAGGTGAGGTGGTAGTGGTGTAGTGGGTTAGGTTTAGTGGAGTAGGTGAGGTGGTAGTGGTGTAGTGGGTTAGGTTTAGTGGAGTAGGTGAGGTGGTAGTGGTGTAGTGGGTTAGGTTTAGTGGAGTAGGTGAGGTGGTAGTGGTGTAGTGGGTTAGGTTTAGTGGAGTAGGTGAGGTGGTAGTGGTGTAGTGGGTTAGGTTTAGTGGAGTAGGTGAGGTGGTAGTGGTGTAGTGGGTTAGGTTTAGTGGAGTAGGTGAGGTGGTAGTGGTGTAGTGGGTTAGGTTTAGTGGAGTAGGTGAGGTGGTAGTGGTGTAGTGGGTTAGGTTTAGTGGAGTAGGTGAGGTGGTAGTGGTGTAGTGGGTTAGGTTTAGTGGAGTAGGTGAGGTGGTAGTGGTGTAGTGGGTTAGGTTTAGTGGAGTAGGTGAGGTGGTAGTGGTGTAGTGGGTTAGGTTTAGTGGAGTAGGTGAGGTGGTAGTGGTGTAGTGGGTTAGGTTTAGTGGAGTAGGTGAGGTGGTAGTGGTGTAGTGGGTTAGGTTTAGTGGAGTAGGTGAGGTGGTAGTGGTGTAGTGGGTTAGGTTTAGTGGAGTAGGTGAGGTGGTAGTGGTGTAGTGGGTTAGGTTTAGTGGAGTAGGTGAGGTGGTAGTGGTGTAGTGGGTTAGGTTTAGTGGAGTAGGTGAGGTGGTAGTGGTGTAGTGGGTTAGGTTTAGTGGAGTAGGTGAGGTGGTAGTGGTGTAGTGGGTTAGGTTTAGTGGAGTAGGTGAGGTGGTAGTGGTGTAGTGGGTTAGGTTTAGTGGAGTAGGTGAGGTGGTAGTGGTGTAGTGGGTTAGGTTTAGTGGAGTAGGTGAGGTGGTAGTGGTGTAGTGGGTTAGGTTTAGTGGAGTAGGTGAGGTGGTAGTGGTGTAGTGGGTTAGGTTTAGTGGAGTAGGTGAGGTGGTAGTGGTGTAGTGGGTTAGGTTTAGTGGAGTAGGTGAGGTGGTAGTGGTGTAGTGGGTTAGGTTTAGTGGAGTAGGTGAGGTGGTAGTGGTGTAGTGGGTTAGGTTTAGTGGAGTAGGTGAGGTGGTAGTGGTGTAGTGGGTTAGGTTTAGTGGAGTAGGTGAGGTGGTAGTGGTGTAGTGGGTTAGGTTTAGTGGAGTAGGTGAGGTGGTAGTGGTGTAGTGGGTTAGGTTTAGTGGAGTAGGTGAGGTGGTAGTGGTGTAGTGGGTTAGGTTTAGTGGAGTAGGTGAGGTGGTAGTGGTGTAGTGGGTTAGGTTTAGTGGAGTAGGTGAGGTGGTAGTGGTGTAGTGGGTTAGGTTTAGTGGAGTAGGTGAGGTGGTAGTGGTGTAGTGGGTTAGGTTTAGTGGAGTAGGTGAGGTGGTAGTGGTGTAGTGGGTTAGGTTTAGTGGAGTAGGTGAGGTGGTAGTGGTGTAGTGGGTTAGGTTTAGTGGAGTAGGTGAGGTGGTAGTGGTGTAGTGGGTTAGGTTTAGTGGAGTAGGTGAGGTGGTAGTGGTGTAGTGGGTTAGGTTTAGTGGAGTAGGTGAGGTGGTAGTGGTGTAGTGGGTTAGGTTTAGTGGAGTAGGTGAGGTGGTAGTGGTGTAGTGGGTTAGGTTTAGTGGAGTAGGTGAGGTGGTAGTGGTGTAGTGGGTTAGGTTTAGTGGAGTAGGTGAGGTGGTAGTGGTGTAGTGGGTTAGGTTTAGTGGAGTAGGTGAGGTGGTAGTGGTGTAGTGGGTTAGGTTTAGTGGAGTAGGTGAGGTGGTAGTGGTGTAGTGGGTTAGGTTTAGTGGAGTAGGTGAGGTGGTAGTGGTGTAGTGGGTTAGGTTTAGTGGAGTAGGTGAGGTGGTAGTGGTGTAGTGGGTTAGGTTTAGTGGAGTAGGTGAGGTGGTAGTGAAACCTACCACTACACCTACTCCACCCACTTCACCTACTCCACCTACTACTCCACCTACTACATACCTACCTCCTCTAATCTTCTATATATAGGACTCATTGTAAACACAACAAATTTCAATCAATAATACAATTCTCTATTTCTCTTTATACATTAAATTTCTACAATATATTTTCTAAAGATGTTTGAGATTAAAATTACACTATGAATTATCTATTGTTATTTTATTAAATTGAATATAATTGAATATTACATGTGTGGAGTCAGTTATACCTTTTAAAATGTTTTAGGCTTTAAAATAAAATATTCTAAATATTTATTTCTTATTATTTGTTCACTATTACTTACAAAAGTATGTATGCTTATTCTCCAAATATCAATATCGTTGTTAATTATTGTTACTTTGAAAATTGATTGTTTGTCTATTTGGTTAGGGTAAATTACACTGACCTCCCCTGAGGTTTACTTTAATTACAAGTACCTCCCATATAGTTTCAAAAATAACACTGACCTCCCTTACTTTTGAAAATAATATACAGATTCCCCTCTGCTGTTAGAAGAACGTTAATAAAGTAACAAAAACAATGAAATCAGTCACAATAAACATGTAAATGCCCAAAATACCCCTGTCAATACACCCACTTCTAACTATGATAATAATAATAATAATAAAAAGCTTTGTCCCTATCATGGATGTTTCAAACAGCCTCTCTTCGTCCCCCTATACACATTGCACATCCATCACAATCCTACCCATCTCCATCTCCATCTCCCAAAAGCTTTGAACACTTCATCTTCTTTATTTCCAATTCTCTTTAAACCCACTCTCTCTCTAAAATGGGAAACTGCATCTCTTGCACCCTATCGTCCTCACCAGGCAAAGCTCCAACAGTAATCTTCCCAAATGGCAAAACCTAACAATTCCACCAACCCATCAAAGCCGCCGAACTCATGATCAAGTGAGAGAGACAGAGACAGAGAGAGAAAGGGTCTTCTTCAATCACAACTGATGCCTCCACAGCGGATTCCAATCCCTTTATGGCGACAACTAAGTCACCGACCACTACTCCTTTGCTTCGGCCGCAATTCTGTGACGGCAGTGCGATTGAAGACGCTGGTGCGACAGAGGACGCTGATCGACCGATGATGTCCGATGGCACGACCAACAACGGGGCAGAGGGCGACTCTCTCTCTCTCTCTCCTCTTTTCGCCGTCTCTCTCGCAACGCCGTCGCCACCACTTTGTTCTTTGATATGTTGAATCTCTCTTTCTCTCTCTTTGTTCAAGTTTTTTTGTGATTAGATCTGCAACTCCAGATCTGGTCTATTTCTTTATTGATGGTCAACATAAACCCTACAATAGCCAAATCGGCAGGAGATTCTGAGCCCTCAACGCCGACGAAGACCTTGAGGCTTCCAACGTTTACCTCGTGTTCCCCATGAAGAGACTCAATTCCGTCATCAATGCCGCCAACTTGGGCCCACTCTTCCTCGCGGCCAAAAAAATCTCCGGCGACGGCAAAATTGTTAGGGTGACGCCGGAGCGGAAGAATGAGGAGGAGGAGGACATGGGAGATGGTTATGCGGCGGAGTTTATGAAGCGTAGGTTGCCCGTGTACAGGTCGAGGAAACCGTTGTTGGAGACAATCGTGGAAGAACCGGTTTGGTCGAGATGATGGACGGTGTTGATAAAATGGGTTAATTCCTCTGTTTGTTTATCAAGGGTATTATGGTCATTTCGGCTGTGAACTTAACGTCGTCCATGCTCTTTTAACGGGAAGGGAGAATCTGTATATTATTTTCAAAAGTAAGGGAGGTCAGTGTTATTTTTGAAACTACATGGGAGGTCCCTATAATTAAGGTCAACCTCAGGGGAGGTCAGTGTAATTTACCCATTTGATTATTATTTTTATTAAGAATGATCGATAAGAAATATCTAAAAAAGAAAAAAGGTAAGATGGTGATTTTATATAGGAACTTTTGTTAACTTCTACCTATTAAACTAGGTGATTATCATTCAAAATAACATTTTCATTGATTTGAGTCTAAATATTTCATATTCATTAGATATATTTAATATCTAAATGTACAGACATATGTTTTTACGTAATTTAGAAAAAGTGACCGAATCTTTACGATCTACAATTCGATTCGCAATTCGGTATGAAACCATTTCAATTCTGCGAATCCCGATTTGACAACTATGTACATATATCATTTTTCATTCAACACAGGAACAGCAGAATCAAGGAAATACATATATACAAATAAACAAAAGAAGAAGAATGCATGAAAAAGAAAAATCAAATCTCCATGAGAAGAAAATACAAAACCAAAAGAGGGAAGGATAAAAAATCAGCATAAGACTATGTTTCAAACTTCACAATGAAGGTATGTCTCAATCAGATCCCATCCAAGTCAATGTTCGGGCTGCCATTTTTTCCATCTTAATTCATGGAAAGATTAACAATGCATTGAATCCTATAAGTTTGAGTCACATTTATATGTCCACATACAGAATATTAAAACTATAATATGAGGAATATCAGCTTTGGACATAAGAGTAGAATAAGTACTGTACCATAAGAAATTGCATCGTTTGGGGGTGTGCTGAGCCTTCGTAAAGAAGCCCAACAGACAAAACTGCGGCTGACTACAAGATAAATGTAAATGAAACAACAATTGGGATGAAACGTGTCCAGTTAAAATATAATCCAACTGCAATTTTTTTAAGGGTTAGTAAACCAAACCAAGTTCTGCAACTGCATGCACATTCTTACCTGCGAGGCACAAATTCAAAGATTAGCAAACAAATATTTAGAACCTCAAAAAGAAAGTGATGAAATGTTTAAAAGGTGACAATCGTCAGAGTAATTAAGTGAAACCAACCAACAGAAAAAATGTTGTGAATCAAACTTAAAGAAATCCAAGATTTCAAGCTTCGAAAATGTAGAGTTGGATAATGTGTCATATGCATATAAGAATGATAAAAAGACAATAAAAGATATTCACTGTAAAAGATTTATATTCAACGATATTTTTTTGTTTTTTTTCTGAAGCACAACATGCGAGGCAAATTTGCAGAGGACACAACATTGACGGCCGCACAGTGACAAATACCTGAAGAAGGGTTGGTAGTTCCAATTCTGGATAGGAAGACGGATGGCGAGCTGGTATATGTACATAAAGGGACTGCCAATGAACAATGTAAATAATTCAACATAAACCATTAACAGCAAATGTATATGCAATATAAAAAATAGCAGAACATCATCACTAAATCATAAGCAAAAGATTTCTAATGGCAACACTGGATTCCATGATGGAGTTTTTAACCGCATAACCACCTCCAAAATACCAATTTGCCTTAAAAGTATCTCAAACTAAGAAGCATGGACACGGACACACGACATGACACCGATACAACACACACACATCGACATGCCAATTTTCAAAAAATACAAGAAACGACATATGAAGAACACGCATGAAATATATAATTTTATACGTTTATCATATGTTCTATATATGAATATATCATTCAAAGGTAATAAAAAAATATAATATGACACTGATTCCTGTAACTTTATATGATTTTGCTTTATTATTGTATCTTAAGTTGTTTTATTTAAACTTATAATTAATTTAATCTGTGTTTAATCGATAGACACGTATGTTTAAGCAATAGGCACATGTATCCTCTAAGTGTCCAAAGAATGTCTGGGTCATTAAAAAATTTTAAAAAATAGGATACGTTTTGAAGAGTGTCGGATACGTGTTGGGGAGGGAAGTGTCCAAAGAGTTTCGGTGTCTAACACAGACACAACACAGATACGCCACCTTCTTAAAAGTGTCTGTGCTTCTTAGATCTCAAATCAACTTCTTAATAAAACAAAAATTAAGATATGTACAATCTAACATGCTATTAGTGCTGCAAATCTCAATTGTTTCATAACCTGTAAACTGTTATCAAATACAAAAGAGAAAATAAAATGTTGTGTATTGTTTCATAAAATGTTGGGATTTAAGGCTTGGTTTGGTATCTCTAAACATGGTTGCATAGTTTTATACAAAATAAACAAAGAACGACACTAATTAAATGTGAAGTCTAAAATACCCTTATAACAAATCCAAAATAATCAAAATACATTCACAGAAAAATGGTTCACTCAAAAGGAGAGTTGTGTTCAAAAAGCAAGTAAAGGGAAAAACAAACTTAATTTAACAAAACCTCTACTTAGGGTCCGATATAGGGATTAAATACACTAGAAGGACGTAAGGTAAGCCTATAACATACCTCTTAACACAAATAGGAAATTCTAACAACTCCTTTCCTTTTATTTTGGTGGGGAGGCAAGAAAAATAAAGCACTGAAAATAATAATCAGAACAAGCAGATAAAAAGGGCTATGAGCCCACAAGTAATATGACATAAATATGGAGTTCCCATACAATCTACTATAACATCTCCTACTTGACAAGGCAATCCAATAAAGATGTAATCTATTCCACGCAACCATGATCTGATTTAAAATTAAATTAACCATATAATTACTATACATAAGTGCATAAATCAGCATCTACAAATTCCGCTAATTAGATATTATTTCAGATTCTTTGCTGCAGGATTATCATAATCGAGGAAGAGTAGGAAAAAGGAAAAATAAAAAAATAAAAAAGCAACCAGATAAGGTTAAATAGGCACATGTATTTTTACCTTTGATATTGCTGGTTGCATAGTTCCCCTATATGATGCGGCAAGGCCAAGCATTAATCCTGCGGTTGTGCTTTCATGTTCCTAAGAACGAAAACATCAGGAACGCAAAATAAACTGAGTAGAAGTTTAAAAAAAAGTGCCAAACAGCAAAAAAACAAACAAATAAAAACATATGCATAAGGAAATGTTTAAAGATAACAAAGGGAGCAAACTTGAGAGCCAAGCAAGCAATTGAAATCTATAACACTTTTTTTTATGAGAAACAGAATTTGTATTGATTAAAAATATAATATTACAAAGGGTTGGAGGACAAGGAGTCCCCCAGTGCACTAAAAACAATGAAATACAAAGAAACAAAACAAAGTACTACCAAAATCAACTCATGACAGCTTTCCAATTCTTTTTTTTTTTTTGTCAGCATCTTTTCAATTCAAATGGATCAAACAAGATAAGCGCATGCCTAAAATATTTAAAACAAGAGGCCCAAATGCAGATCAATTATTCCACTTGTTGGTCCCTTTACCCTTGAGCTTTAGAAGCACCCCTACTAAAGGCATGCACCATACACCACCCCTTGATAAGCCGAACAAGAAGAAAAGGCTAGCCAAGCAACCAACCCAACCCAACCCTCCCAATGCTGCTTCAAATCCACAGGCAAATTTTTTGTGCCCACAAAACCGCCTCCCAAGACTGAGCAACAGCCCCAATACCTTTTCGGCCTAGAAGCCCAAATTTACAAAATCACTTCTCAACATCAGATAATTTCCACTTCCCAACTCCAGATGATGCCACATGGCACCTCCCCGTCTATTCTTCAAATTCGAATCCCTCCTAGATACATCCACCGACCCACCAACTGCCATACCCTTGATCTCTACACCACAGAGCCATGCACACACCCATTGTGATTATCACACTCCACTAGCTACCTCTCAACTCCCCCACCACTGACCTCCTCTGAACAACTCTGCACCAACATAGAAAACAGATCATTCCCCACACAACCCGCCTCTACTTTCTCCTCAAAGATCCAGCCATCAAGAATACCTCCTCCACCAACATCCTCGAGAACAATTTCCTCTACCTTGGCTTGCACCATTGGCACATCCACCATTGTCACCAAACCTCTTATCTGTCAAAGTAAGCCATCCACTGCCTCAACGGGAGAAGACCTCAAAAAATAGCACTGGCATTACCAAACATATCGAAGCAAGAGAAATCCTGACTACCAAAATCTGAATATCACAAAATCGAGAAACAATGATCAAGAACAGCAACAGGCGAAGGAAGAAAAAATAAAACCCTAGAGCTCAAAGGAATTGACAAGCAAAGTGGAGGCCAAAAAAAGAAACTCTAAACAAAAACCAAAGTGAATTAGAATATGTTAGAATTTACCAATTTACTCCTCCACCTACCATCTCCACTAGCACCCACTTCACCTACCACCTCCACTACACTACACCTACTACCCAAACCCTCTCCTATATAATGCCACTCTGATTTGTAATACAACAAATCAATACATCAATCTTGTAATCAATATCAATCAATAATATATCAGTTTATTTTACAGAATATTAGGACTATGACAAATGAAACCCTAGAGAAAGGAAACTAACCAAAGACTAAAGAAGCCCCAAAAACAAAAGACCGAGACAAGATGCAAAGAAAGACATAAATATCAAGAGGAGAAACTTAACAGCAAAATGATCTAAGCTAAATTAGAGGAAAGGTTTTTTAAACACAACAAAAAACACAACCCGAACTATTGTTTTCTAAAGAACAAAATACACACCATCAAATAACTCAAATTAACTATTAAAGTAAACAAGTACCCAAAGAAGAACAAGGGGAGAAAACATTAATGGAATGCAACAGCAGACAAGTTATATACAAATAGAATGCTTACCTGTGAATAATATTGATATATGTCGGTTATAGTTAAGACATGCAAATGTCCATGTAACCCCAGTGCCAGCAGAAGTCCTGCATGGACAACATTTGGCTCTTCAGGTTTGTTATATATTATCCATGTTCTAGACATTTTACCCTGCAAAAGAAAATACAATGCATCACATACCATTCAAGCCATAGTATCAATTATGGAGAAACGTTCCAATAGTAGTAATAAGACGAGAGGGGAAAACAGAGAGAAATTTTGAATTAACTAAATCCAAACATTAAGGCCTTGTTTGGTTTGTATTTCTCAAAAAAATTTGGGAAAAATTCTCTACAAATAAGTTTTCAAAAGTAATCAAACCAAACAAATTTTCCCAAAAATTTTTTCCAAAACTTGTTTGGTTTACAAGTTTTCCAAACAAATCTCTTTCTCATACACATCAAATCAATCACTTTTTCCAAAACTCTCTCTCAAAATAATTTTTCAAAACATCTTTTGAAAAAAAACCAAACCAAACAAATTTTCGTACTTTTTATCTGAAAACATGTTTCTCAAATACAAACCAAACAAGCCCTAAATGTAACAGACACCTGAAAATGATACATAAAAGCAACTTCACATCAATCACAAGGTAGAAGTAATATAAAAATAAAAACAAAAGACCAGCAATGATTTCAAAAGAAATTCCTCAGTAAGTAAACACCATTCAGTCACAAGAATAACTTTTGCAACAGCTAATATCAAAAATTCATGATAGGAAACCTGGAGAGGGGCAAGTCTCAATCCAGAAGCTACAGCATTGTGAAACTCAGGCCACGATTTAAGTTCTTGTATATTTCTTATATTTGGATCTAGATTAACCTGCCAAGTTATAAAAGCATGTAAGACACGCACAAAAAAAATAGGATCTACAAATATGTGAATTTTTTTCCCCAACAGATACAAATATGTGAATTGTTGATTGAGAGGTCAGATAAAATTGTTATTACCATAAACACTGTCAAACAAGAGTAAGAAGGATTGTCTGACCAGGAAAAGTCACGTGACGGGTACCCCAAAAAAAAAGTTCAATTGAGACCAGAAATTAATCAGGCTCTTCTAAATGGAGGTAAGGTACTTACCACTTACCTCTCCCAGAGTCCCAGACCCAGTAGAGCCAGGTGCACAGGGTATGGCCTTTTTAATACAAAATTTTAAAATAAAATAAAAAAATAAAAACGTAAAGTACATTGTATTTCACCAAATAAATATTCAGTCCCAGGCTATCAAAGGGAAAAAGGAAACATTTTACCCAGTACCTAACAAGTTTTTGAAGAATGTGATGAGCAAACCAAAATAAGGACACAAACACACACAAAGTGCATGCAAATTTCTTCAAGTCCTTATTGTTACACGGTCTTGGGTAGAACACCCCAAAAGCTAGCTCAAGAGGTGAAGGTGCTCTCACTCTTATATAATTAATATTATTTTAGTACTTGGGCGAAGTGAGACTTCGCTTCACACCCTCTCTCACGCCCAGTGTGCTCACTCAATAGCACCTGAGGCATGCAGGGTAGAGACACGCACCCTACCCATCCCTAAGTACTTTGGCTGTGATACCATGTTACACAGTCTTGGGTAGAACACACCCCAAAAGCTAGCTAAAAAGGTGAGGGTGCCCTTACGCTTATATGCTTAATATTATTTTAGTATTTGGGCAATGTGGGACTTTGCTTCACACTTATTGTGCACATACCGTAGCATTTTGCTGGGCTGGCAACCGACCTGCTAAAACAAGCTTGGGGACTGTGAGTGCCTACAAGAGATTTCAAAGGATCCTATTAGAACCAACAATACATATTTAAGCAATAAATCCCAGAGCACATCACTGCATAGCCTTGAGAAAAAAGGAAACCCATTACTGGACACTGGACTTTATTACTCACAGGAAGATAAATAAATCTCAATTTTGACGATATAATAGCTTAGTGTAAACAAAAAGGAAATCACCTCTGTTAGAAGAGTATGCATGGTGGCGAGAGTAAATGCCCCACGGCCAAGAGGAAGTGCAGTAGTCCTTTGAGCAAGCTGCCATAACTGGGCCTATACCAATGGAACAAAAAAGAAACAATTACATGAGAACAAGGAAACGGGTATATAGGAACAATCATAAATGTAGTAACACATAACAAAAAACAAATAGCTATTATGTTAGAGTCATCATAATTCACAAGACAACAAAAGAAAATTATGGTCAATCCAATTAGGTAATAAAGTTTGGGGTGTTTGGAAAAGGCATAGACTTCTTTTGTCAACACAACAATGCAACGTCACAATGTGGTTGCTAATATTCATATGACTTTCCTGGTAATGTTGCATTTGACAACAACTCAATCTGTTACCTACGCTGAATGCTTTCCCATCAAAAACTGTTAGAATTTACCATCACCTACCACCACTACCACCTCACCTACTCCACTAAACCTAACCCACTACACCACTACCACCTCACCTACTCCACTAAACCTAACCCACTACACCACTATCACCATCCACTACACACCATCCACTACACCTACATCTATATAAGGAACCATTTGTAATAGACAGAAAATTACAACAACATTATATCAATCAATAATACAATTTCTCTATTTCTCTTTATACATTAAATTTCTACATGGTATCAGAGCAGGTTTAGAACCTAGTATTTTCGCTTCACCGGCGGGCGGCAACCTCACCTTAGCCGTCCGCCGGACTTGAACCTATTCTGCTTATTTTCTACACATACCTGCCATCACGCAAACTGAAGAGCTTAGTCAACTTCTGGATGTGTTTATCCCAGCTCTGCAGGGAGTAGCACCACCCCATCAACAAGCACAACTCCATCCACAACCACAACTACTCCCTCCTCTATATTTGGCCTGGGCCCCACAGGAAGTGGCACCAGCATTACCAACACTGACAGCAAGGCCAGTGTGACCCTCCACCAAAACAAACACTTGTTTTTCTGCTCTTTAGCTCTAACCCTTTTGTTCTCAGGCCCTATCTTTTTTAGGCTTTGAAAGATTATTGGGGTTATTGATGTGAGGGGGGTATGATGTGTGGATGATATTCTGCCGTGACAGCTCGAGCAAAGCATGTGATATTCTGTTCCCCACTCCTCTTTCTTTTCTTTTCTTTATTTTCCACTTTCAAACCCTTTATTTTTTTATTCTCTTTGATCACCCACGGGTAGGACCTTTACACCCAGCAGATTCTCCCCTTTCTTTTCTTTTCTTTATTTTCCACTTTCAAACCCTTTATTTTTTTATTCTCTTTGATCACCCACGGGTAGGACCTTTACACCCAGCAGATTCTCCCCTTTCTTTTCTTTTCTTTATTTTCCACTTTCAAACCCTTTATTTTTTTATTCTCTTTGATCACCCCCATGTCTGACCAAACACCACTCTTCTTTTATTTCACACTTTTCTTTTATTTTAAGATATATATATATATATATTTTATTATAATCTATTTCTCCTCTCCCTACTTTTATTTTATTTCATTTTATTTTTTTTTTCTATCTTTTTTTTTTCCATCAATATTTCATTATTATACCACTCGTTAGTGAGCATCACCCTTTTTTCCATTTTCTTATTATTATTTTTTATATTCCACACAAAAAAAAAAAAAAAAAAAAACCCTAAACCCTTTACAAAGTTTTTTTTCCCTTAAAGAACAAAAAAAAAAATTGAACAAAATTGGAATAAAAGAAATCAGTAAAAAAGTCCCTCGATGGTCATACAAATTAATCAACGAATTAGAACAACAGGAAGGAGAAAGTGAAGAAGAAGTACCAATAGATTATCAGATTCGTTCAAGAAAAGCCAAACGTGTAGTGATTTTTACTGATAACCGGGGAAATACCGATCCTAATAATAAGGATACTAATAATTCTAATAAAAGAGACGAAGTAGCTAAAGAGAGGGGTGCCTTCGGGAACGCGGACACAGGTGGTGCATGGCTGTCGTCAGCTCGTGCCGTAAGGAAGAGGATTGTACCATGAGAGAAGCAAGGAGGTCAACCTCTTTCAAATATACAACATGGATTCTGGCAATGCAATGTAGTTGGACTCTCATGTCGATCTGAATGAATCATCCTTTCCACGGAGGTAAATCTTTGCCTGTTAGGCAAGAAG